TTTTCGAACTTGACCTGCGTATTACGAAAATTCTTCAGTTCTGTAAGTTTCAAGCCAAAAGGTAAAATGGTTTTCCACTTATCGTGTTATCGGTAAAAGTGCACGGCGACGGCGACGACGGCGACGACAGACGCAGATGACGGCTATATGTACATAATAAAAAAAAATGTGCACCCGGGGCTAGTTGCCCCCCTTGACTCGGGGCAAGTTGGACCCTCATATTACCCACAATCCTTTGCGTGCAACAGAGCTACAGACCATTGTTGAAACAACCTCAGTGTTTTGTTAATATAATTACCAGTTTAAAACTGAATTTGTAAGTTTCTTTCAAAACGAAAATTTATTATTCGTTTTAATTCATTAAAAACCGGCTTTATACCAGTGTTAATTTATTGTTAATCTAAACACAGTCACAGTCAGTACGCATTACACAGTATCATACCCTGAACAAATTTTGAATGGTGATGCAATGCTTTTCAACCCCGCTGAGAATCGTCACTATCACATCGCGTACTAGGCAAGAGCGGTGTCGCGTCTGATACTGTGAAATGCGTACTGATACACACCTTGAAAACGGGTAGTGTGGTCCGATTTACCGGTGAATTCAGGATCATTCGGTGCCGAGTCTGGTAGTTGGGTAGGCCTGTATATTATTGAAAAGTAAATAACCAAAGAAGTAATAGTGTATCATAATAGACCCCTAATATTGAAGAATAAAAAGAAATAAGTTTTTGGAGTTTTCAACATGCAATGTTGAAAAACAAGAGTCATATTAAGAGGGTGTACCGGTATATTGTTCAAGTAAGCTATGGCGCGTTTTAGAATGGCTAGACACAGGCAATCAAACCTAATTCATCTCTCTACGCTCCGTCTCGCTATAGAATATGCCAACCACCCACGGCCATGTCTGTTCACTGGAACTCTCGCTGTGGTCAATCTTATATAAGTCAGTCTCTGTCATCGTTTTTCCACACCCAGAGTAAGCTATGAACAATAAAACCATTAAAGGCGACACAATTAAATCTTAATATAGATCCGATGGCGCGTCATAGAGATGATATATATAACAAATAATTTATAATTCGGATAGTCAAAATGATTACAATGGACAAGACTTAAAATTATAAAATAGCTTTTCTTGAATAGGGTGGACTCCCATCCTTACAAACGGACACACTTTTTACCTACATGTCAACAAATTAATTCCATGGAAAACCGTGTACGATTTCATCGCATGGCGCCCGTTGCAATTGTGAGCTAGGCTAATAAAGTGTACAGACAAGGTTTGACAAAAAATCCAAAATTGCTGTCTTTATGATTATAGATAAATATTCAGTGACTAAATTCCTTTGCATTTACGCAAATGTCATTTTACCGATGACGTTAAAATAACGAATTTTTGGGGTAAACATTGCAAACCCACTTTCTCAAAATTCCCTTTGCCTGAATACATGTACCCACGGACACTGTTTTAACGCCAATTTAATGACATTATTGAGTACCTCAAATCCTGCCATCAAGCCTCAAGTCAGAAAATATTGAATACCAAAGACTAGTAGGATGGGGGGTACTGCAAAACCACCAAATTTCTTATAAAATCAGCCGCAACTACCGATCTAAACCTTCTGTCTGTGGATTCATTCAAAAAGAATAGGTTGCTCGTACAATAGGCAGGATACAGTCGTTTTATTTTGATGTTAGACCATATAAACAGGTGTAAGTGCATTCACCAAATATTCTTAAATTAATTTCCCTGTAGTAAGAAAAATCATTGAAACATGCATTATTGAATCATCATTTAAAAAGTAAGTCACTGACTATCAGTACACGCAAGACCGTTATTTCAAAATTTTATTTTTATCATAACTGATATATTTATATCCATACAATTATGGTAATTACTGTCATCAGAAACAACAAAACTTCTTAGATTGTAGCTTTTAATGATAAACGCTTACAGTTAACATACAGGCTTTCGTGGAAACCATGAAGTGACACGCCAACATGCTTTACCTTTTTTCTCTCGTGGTTAAACCATGACTTAAAGGCTTTCAGCATGTACAAGTAAAGTATTAAGTAGAGTTCTTCTTTTGAATTGGTCTGTATCTTCGAAATCTTCATAATATTTACTTCAAATCAGTTTTTTAAAAACGTGTAATGTTTTTAACTATGCAAGTTTGCCGGTTACATGTACAACATTGATAGTGACATCTTCCATTTTCCATTTGGTTGGTAGCTAATACGGGTACTGTAAAGCTCTGGAGACGTCCCAGTTCCTTAATGCTTGGCGAACCTTTGGGGTTTTACCTGCAAACAATTACATGATAACTGATTACACAGCTTACATTAAGTGGAACAGAAAGAATTAAGTCTGAATGATTCTGTACGTTATGAAGACACTCAAACCCTTGTTGGCCATACATGTATCATTATCATCATTTTATTTGATATTTATCGTTGTTCTCATTATTATTGTTATAATTTTTACAAATTATATGTTGAAATGTCCTAATGAACACATTCATATGCCTTGAAATTATTTGAAGTGTGTTTCTTGTACTGAGACATCATTATATGGGAAGAAAAGTGTCGTCAATAAATCATTATCTGTAAATTAATCACCAAGAAAACAGTACCAACCGACAGCAAACTCATTGTAATGGACTTTTCCGCCATTGCCAAATGATACACAACGTCTTCCTTCACGCTCATCACACTCAGAAGCTTCATTGCCGTTTTTATGCCAGTGACCCGAGGCACAGCGAGATCTCCTTCGGTTGTTGCACCTCTCTGCATCAGCCTCAGTAGGATGGTAGTGTCCATTGTTGCAGACAGATTCACTTTGTCCTACATGTATAATAAATTCAATCATGCCACTCGCCATATGCCAATTACTAGTAGTTTGACTGCATTTCATTAGCGTACTGAGGATTACGCATTAGGCTCAAACCACTTTTATCGGACTTATGGGTCGTAAATGATACCGTCACTAAGTTTAATTTCCACATAAAGTGAATTTCCATCTTCAAAAGCAACTTTTTTTCTCTCTTTCTCTCTCTCTCCCCCTCTCTCTCTCTCTGCAAGCACTCATATGCTGGTGCACTTGTACATGTACTAGAGTATTATGAGATATCACGTTTTTCCCAGACGGTTGAGAGACCCCTCATTACATAGTTTTTAACAATTCTCTCTCTCTCTCCGCACAAGCACACGCACACGCATACACACACACACACTTTACTCACCCATTTTTCTTCTCATGGTTTTGAATACTCGAGATGGTTGGTGGTGACTGTGGTCTCACTGTTAATTCTGACTGACTTTTGTTATGAGGACAGTCGCCATTGGTCGACAACAGCGCCCTCTTTTATTCAGACTACAACCCCAGTGTTTTTAAAATAGATTTTAGATTTTACTTTGCGTTTCTTTTTTTATTCTTTCAAGCAATGCCTCAGGACATTAACAAAATACTTGCAATTCCACTTTTTTAGAGAAAGCAAGGAACTATACTTATTTGAAAAGGCTATGGTGCAATTTATCTTCAAAATCATTAGGCTTATTGAACCGGCATTTGCATGGTCTGTGATTGTGTCAGTTGGGATATTTACTATTATACATGTACTACTAGTGGTGGGTGCAATCTCCGTTACTGTCGTTAGCATCCTCATGTCACATTCTCTATCCGATTTTTTCTGTTATCTCAATAATAATAATAATAATAATAATAATAATAATAAATTTATCACTTCGCGAATATATCATTAACTTCATATTTCACTTCTCTTTTTTTTTCAGATGGGCCTAAACATTGAGAATCAATGTATGATGTATGTTTTGTTTGATTTTGATCAGTGGAAAATAAATCTAGTAGGCCTATATTAAATTGCAAGTGTATTAATTTATTAATGCAAAAGACAAAATAAATTATCAGAATAAGTAGAGCTCACGAAGCATGAATGCAGAGGGAGATAACCTAAAGTGTATGATATGACCACATTTGGTAAAGATAAAGGTACATGAAGGAGGGTTCGCTCTTAACAATGCCAGTATCGAGGTGCTTGTTTTGGTCAGGTGGTAGGGGTGGATCGGAGTCTGAATACACCATTTCATGCAAAGGGTAGTCTTCCAGTAACCGTCTATATAGACTTAAGTATCCCATGTAATTGTTCTCTTCTCTGTATATGCCCTCCAGAATATGTAATCTCTTTTGATAGCATATAGTTCAGGGCCGTAGCCTGAGCAAAATGCCAGGGGGGGCAGTAAGCGGACACGAGGGGGCGAAGCTACCGAGGGGGGAGGGTGTGGTATGTAAAATTCCAAATTCCAGGGGGGGCAGCTGCCCCCCCTGCCCCCCCGGAGGCTACGGCCCTGTAGTTCTTTTCATTCATGTTCAAATCCACCCTAATTCAAAAAGGTTATATCCATGGTTCTGTAGGAAATAGAGCCATAACTGATAACTGAGTCTTAAACTAACAGTCCCGAGAACATCTGACTAGTACGTCTACGTGCCGGTGGTGCCAGTCTCCTGGCAGTTTAGACAATTCTACCTAATAAAGAACGTCAATCACGTTTGTACAAGTATTAATTTCTTGTAAAAAGTCATCAAGTTTGTACAAGTATCAAACCTTTTGTGCGAAGTTATTAGGTTTCTACAATTATTAGAACCTTTTTTATTAAACATTTTTTGTAATAATCATGGTTGTGTAATTATTATATAAATCTTTGTATGATTCGCCATAAAATTTGTACAATCATAATCCTGTCTGAGAAGTAATGAAGTTATTACAATTATCAAGCCTTTTTGTGACGAGTAATTAAGCTTCTGCAATTATACAGCCTTTTTCGTATAAATGATCAAGTTTGTACAATTATCAGTTTGTAAAATTATTCGTTGAGAGTGGAGTTCGAGTCCCTAGTTGAAAACATACTTATTTGTTTAGCTTGTTTATTCTCAAACTCATGTCCTTATGTGTCGATCGATCGTTCTCGTATAGGTCATTTGTAGTTGTTGTCGATTGTGACATCCTCATCTGTTGCAATACACAAAGAAGTTAGGTGAGAAGTTAGATGTGTCAGTACTACGTACTTAACATTTGGTTAATATTTGCTTAATATTTGGTGAGTTCATTGGTTTGCTCTCTTTGCGCTGATCCCAGTCTGATTATAACAGAGCAAAGGCCGTCTAGTAAGTCTCAATATTCCGGAAACGTTTGCACAGATTCTGAGAAGAGTTTAAAATTGTGCATTTCAAAGTAGCTGGTTATATAACGCGTGAAACGTTGCTGTGCCGTATTATACATGTAGAAACTGCTGCCTAGTCTACCGTATTTAGGCAGAGGATGTCACGCCCAGGCCATGCATATCAGTACGTTACCATCAAGAGACAGAACCTACTGATCTTTTGGTTATGGTGCTACAACTAAACAAAGCATTTTAGTCTAAGAAAAATGGTTTGACCCACGTCTTCTTAATGTTGCACACTGTTCAATGCGTTCTCTGTGTCTTACACGGGGTTATTCTGTCTAATATCTTGTTATATGATCCCGAATCCACGACATTAAATGGTCCAACTTGGTAAATGTTACTGTCACCATGTCTGCAGTCTGTGCTCATGCTGTGTGCAGCGACACCTGGAGTGAAAATAATGTTTTAGAAGAAAAACATATTTAAAAAGGAAATTTTAATTTGAACTTATGTGTTTTCAAAGGTCGCAGTCTTATCGTACAACGTCATAAAAATTAAAAAATATAGATCAAAAACGTATTTAAAGTTGTAACGTGCAATATTTCTCTATGAACTCTGTTTCTCTATAAACGGCATATATCCTATTTTTTATATTAAAAATGTTAGTTCGCACCAAAGATAAGGGATCTGATAAGACGCCATTTCATTGCACAGAGTCATTTAAATTTATCACACACTGGGCATAAAAATTATTTGTGAAAAAGTAAAATAAAAATCCTTACCGATTTGTATCCAGATTTCCTCTCTGGATTCCTTCTTCATGAGCCTCCTGAACAGAGTTCCATCACCTCGCTGATGACAGCCACTCTTTACCGCACCGGTAGCATTAAAGGCAACTTGGTATGGAAATAAAAAAGAAATGCGTACATAGCCTAAACAAAATATTGACCCTCTTTTGGTCATTGCAAACTGCGTTTTTTTCTTTCTTTCTTTTTACAAATGTGCCATTGTGAAATTGCATTAACGTGTGCGATAGTGCAGTAGGCCTAGTAGTACAAGTATACATATATACAAGTCATACCTGCGCAAAGTTCGTGTTCATTTATTGGTTGACGTCTTGATTGACAGTCATCTGGCGGGCGAATTTTCCATAATTTCTGCACGGAAGAAAAGGAAAGAAGTAGAAACTTGTATTCAGCTTTAAATTTTCATTTCAAATCCCCATGCAAACACTTTTTGCTAACGAAGTCCTGCTTTTCCAGTTCTGTTGAGCACACGAACAATATGTGGGGCCTCGATTTGAAACATGCCAGCTTTTGTGTTTTTAATCTCCAAATAGGCCTACTTTAAAAAATCTATAAAACTAATAAATAGGCCGTCGATAAGAACCTATTTAATCGTATCTTTTATATTAATTATTATTGAAGATCACAATAATAAACGAGTCGCATTTCAATGTAGGCCTACTTCTCGCTATGGTCTTTATTTAAAAATAGCAATTTTTACGAGATTACATATTGCATCGTATCATAACATAGTATCAATAGAACATTTCTAACATAAATTTTCAGAAAGACAGCAGAGAGCAAATGAAATAAAATCAACCAGACGGTAAACACTACCCTGAGTGTCAGAGCAACGTAAAAGCTAGCTTGCTTAATATACCTTGTGGTGGAGTCGCTTTTACTAGTATTGCTACTATGGGTTATATATGAAATCAAGATTGAGCTGGCAATACCGGAATCTAGAACCTAGGGTAGTAAACACCGGCAGGCTTTGTCAATTTCACCAACTTGTTTATTTCAAACAGCGCACTTTTCGCGCATGCGTAGTTGTTTGAAGCCTGTGCTGTTCTGTTGAAGACGGAATTTTTAAACTAAAAAGGACAATTGCTTATTAAATGGAATATCAGCTGTAGTGATTCTACTCACTCTAGCACCGTACAAATAAGAGTTTCATTACCTGTATTATTCTGGGTTGATCAGCAGGCTGCCGCCAGGTGGCACTTACACCAAGATGGTCCATTCCTGGTCTCCGGGATGTGGTTAAATCGTCATAGTCAAATAGACTTAAATCTTCGAATATAAGATGACAATAAAGATATAATAATACATACCCTAAGGGTTGAAAACAAACATATTTTCTCAAACGTTCGTCATCTTGATAAGACAGAAAGAATCCTTTCGCCCAAAGCCAACGACTATCGATATTTCAAACACCATTGTTTTCCAAAATGAAATTAATATAGGCCTACGAGCTTAAAAAAGATATATCACAATAGTTTAATCACAGAAATAAGGATAATAATTTAATAATAATAATAATGTATACTGCAAGTTTAATTAAAAGCTGTAATGTTTTCTTGCTTACCTAGCGTATTTGGCAGGCAGATCTTCCTCACGTAGGGACTGAACGAGACTCTTTCTGCCAGATACCACAGAGCAATGTTGTAACCAGGGACAGCGCTCGTCTGGTTCTGGTCGTATGTGTGGACGTGTAATACTTCAACTTAATGTGAACCTATAAGACAATAAAGGCAGAATAAATATATATTGGGCTGATTCTTTAGTTAAGAAAGTGTTTAGTGGCTGAACTGAATGCGAATTAATAAGCCATATTTGCCATCGCTGGCAAGTCATATTTCTGGGATAGATCAAAGTTTGTAGCCGCATGACAATAAGAAAAAAATCCATCATAAACATATAATTAAAACAATTTACCTATTTTAACGTACGCCTTCACCGCCGCTCGCCCTTCCAGGCAACTGGCGCTGCTGAGTACCCAATACTCGTCCACCAGCGTCCCTGTGCACAAAAACGGGATCTGAAACCATTAACATTCCAAATCACATCAAATATTTACAGAAACGGGTTGGTGATTCATAACTGACAGTGTGTCAGCATTGCAATTTTTTATAAAGTAATAATAATAATAATAATAATAATAATAATAACGTATATCCGAAAATGTCAATTTAGCTTGACTTTGTACTTAAAGTCGCTTATGCAAATCAAGAATTATCAAATCAAATTATTATGTTATACAATAAAGAAATGCAATCAAGATATAAGGTAAGTAAGTGTGAGATAATACACTGTCACCCGAGCGATATGTAATAGATAGACCCCTAGTCAGCGAGGGTTATGTGGCATACACGAGTGCGTAGCACGAGTGGATGTCACATAACCCTCGCTGACGAAGGATCTATCTTATTTAGACCACGGACCATTTGCGGGTTATAACGCATTCATGCGAGAAGTGTGGTTACTCGAGTAACACCACGTCTGAGTCTTTTGTTCTTTACTTCTGCCGTGGTCTAAATGCCATTTGGCAGTCAGGTTGGCGAGGTGAGGTGTCGGTGCGAAGACAAACAGTGGAACAGACAAACAGAGAATTAAAGTACATAAATGATAGCGGTAGCTATCCTGGTGAAGTATTCAGTGCTAACATTTTGTCCAAAATAGAAATTTATCTATAGGCATTTTTCTAAGCCTCATTCAATTGTCCAATTTGGGTGTCATACATTGTGGGTCTATCAAAAGGATTATAGCCACAGCAACCTTTTTGAAATATTCTGATGTTGGTCCAAATCTGAGCGCGTTGTGCTGACATTTCCAGTTCAAACTAAAACTTGTACTTATCATCAAACTTATATTCAATAGCATTCTTAGATCCCATGGGAGGTGCCAGTAGTCCTAGCTGTGTGAAATGTCCTACCCCTGTAATAAAGACAAAGTATGTACGTAAGGAAGTGATTTCTGATACAGGCTCGAAAGTAAAGTTCTTATAATTAAAGCAATTTTTGAGAGTTTTGTTCGGTATTTTGTATCCTATCTTGACTGGAAAAAGGCAACTGGCCGTTTTGCAATTAGGGTTTCTTAATACAACTTAGGGGTTAAATATAGACTGACTGCGATAAAGCCCGTCTCCAACACTTTCAAATAACAAGATATACGTGCGTGCATAAATAATGTGTGTCGTCTGGCATTGTATATCCAGTCTATTGCAAAGAAAACGGTAAATATTTTTCACGGTTGTTTTCAATGGATCCTATCTATTTATACAGCTATTAAGCAAACATGAATTCAACCCAAAACTTTGTGAGTGTTCTCATAAATACCTTATGAGTACCTTACAAGAATAAGCTGAGAGGATGAATATCATATGACAGTATTGCGAGAACAGTTTTATAAAAAAGGGCAGCATCCTTTTTGTCTCAACAAGAAACAAGAAATGACACGCCTGGTGGTTCAATATATTTATTATTATATTTGAACTAGAATTTTGACCAAACGACACTAAAGTACACAAACACGTGAATATATAAAACCAAAATTATATGTAGAATTTGTGGGCTCCTATACGAAGCTCCATACGAGCGCATAAAGGTAAACGGGTTATCCCGTTGATTTTTATAGCCGAAAGAAAAACAAGAAGTGACACTCCTGGTGGTTCAATACATTTATTATTTAATGTTTTTTATATTTGAACTAGAATTATGATCAAAGGACATATAAAATTGGGGCTTCTCGATCATCCCAGAAGTAAACGTACAAGTAACTACCTGTGTATGTATATAAAACCAAAAACGTGGAATTTGTGGGCTCAGCTCCTAGAGAGCCGAAATGAGCTCATAATTATTTTTGTAACTGTGTTGCTCACGTATTTGTTGAACGATGAAGTTGTTCCTTATTTATGAACGTGTAATCTACAGGCGTACGAATAAAGAGGTCTAAATCTGTTAACATGTAACAAAAAATCTTTTGAGATATGTTTTGTTTTAGAAATTAGCAATCATGCAAAGAAACACATTTGCGTGAGGTCATCTCGTCGATTTATTGACCCGATCGAAGCTTGGATAATTGAGCGACGCCATAACTTATTGGCTTTGGCTTTCAGTCAATTTGTTGTTTTGCTAGGCTCAGAAAAATTACATCGACCAATCAATCGTGATATAGTGAACGACTTTCAGCGTAGGGGAGATCGGTGCCAAGGGTAAGTCCCCCCCCCCCCCGGTCAATTTATGAAAAGTAATTACGAGGTAAAATATTGGCCACATACTCTTGTAAAGTGACCGTAACCTACAATGTTAAGGAAGTGTCGGACATCAAAAAGTTTTACTTAAGCGGTGAGTCGAAATAAACGATTTTTGCACCTAAAAGTAATTTTGTTTAAGAGATGTAAAAATCTATTTTCATAGGCTTTTGATCGAATATAATATATGTATAGGACATCAAACTTAAGCTCATTGTTTTATGTTTCACAGAGATGTATCATCGTTGCTCAATCTAGCACCATAAATGGCTGCCATCCTTCAAAATAAGAAATGTGCACCCGGAGCTAGTTGCCCCCCTTGACTCGGGGCAAGTTGGACCCTCATAAAAGTTTTTCGAATGCCATGAAATGTGTTGTGTTGTATAAGTGCCAATCTGTAGACCACGTACTGATACTACTTCTGCGCAGGCGTTTATTCTTGGAAAGCTATCAGTATGAGTAATCATTTTTAAATTATTAAAATATGGTCATATGCCAATATTGAAACTATCTACACGCCACTGGCCCGAATCAATATGTACGGTAGAACTGTCATAAAACCTCCAAATCGACCATCTTTATGGCTGTCTTAGAATTAAGGGTTCTTAATACAGGTTAGGGGTCTAGACTGGCTGCAATTAAACGTTACATCTTTTTTATTTGACTTTGCTTGTGTACCAATGGCGCCATGGTTACCTGTTGAGAAAAAAATTATTTGAAAAATAAACCTACAGTGATTTTGTCCACAGTTTACGGAACAGCCGTCTGCATCCTTTAACCGTTTATTTTGCAAACTTTTGTATATAAAAATAGTGAAACACGAAACACTTGAGTAAATTAAAAACGACCGATTAAATGTTTACCTTTTTCATTTCAATAGGCTGAAGGTACAAGGTAAAAAAGTACACCCACTTCTCATTCTCTGATACTGCTGGGGCACTTTTTATGGCATTCAGTCCATATAAAGCTCACCACCTGCTCATCAAAGCTTTATTGCGCAACATCCAAAAGAATAATTATCATGAATTGCTGCACGGAACCTTTTATTCAACATTCTAAAATCAAAGTTAATTTAAAAGATAAAAGGGTTATTTTTGGTTTCGAACCGAGACACCCAAAAATGAAAAA